ACTCTTTATACTCACTAACATATTTTGTGGGTAGTATCGATATTACTCCGATTTGATGTTCATCCCAGCTACCCTCATTTTTATCATCGAAAAAGTCTCTTGCATATTGGTTCCCCATTGGTACATTACTCTCTTCAAAGTTCCTGTAATTATTCCAGTAAGGGATCCTTCCTCCTCTTCTCCAGGGCCTTCCTCGAAATCTCCTTTGGAATGTTGGGAATCCAGTATTCGATCCTTCGTCATATGAAAGTCTCTCGAAGACATCATGACTTTGAAGTCTGCCCCTTCCTCTTCGAGAAGGATACATTTCTTTCCTAACCCACTGTCTCTGATCCCTACTAGTACCAGAACCAACATATTTCTGTTGACTTTCCCCTATTGTTACTTGGGCTGATTGATCTGCTTTGTCATTGTCCCTTTTATTTTGATTCTCGATTTTCTTTATCTGTTCCGCTCTGAAGGCTTTAGCAGCTGATTTGTCAAACACTGCACTACATCGTGGACATAGTGATACATCTTCATTCTTTTCTTTCTTTCTGTTTAAAAACTCGACGAGGGAATCTCCTGATTGAGGATAGATCTCTCTCTCGAATTCTTTCTCGAACTCACTTAGGTCGAATTTCATGTCTTCTTCGGATAGGTCCATCCTGACATGCCTGGGATCAATGTCTTCAGTAACATCAACCATGCCTACAAAGGTCGAATTTGTCAATCGGACATCTTCAGTCATGCCCGTCTGGGATTCGATATACCTTACTTGAACCTCGAATGGACTTGTGTCCACTTTCATTGACATCTCCTCGAACTTCAGTCTTCCTTGGTCGATCGCATCTTGGATCGTGTTCCTGAAATGTATACAATTATTAGTCCAATGTCCATAAATATTATGAAATTTGCAGTATTTTCGACCATTCCTTTGTTCTGTAGATGGCAGTTTATGATCATCACTCAACTTAATCTGCTTGTCTTTCAATAAAATATCGAAAATTTTATCGGCTTTCGTTACATCGAAAGTATACGTTCGATTTGCCATTTTGTCTTTTACTTCATTTTTCTATAGCAATTTACAAATATATGGAGCTCCTACTTTGAGCTCTGCTATATTTACTTTCTCATCGACAGTTTCTTCAATATCGGTTTCTGTTTTGGGATCTGTCTCATACACATCATTTATATATGCTACTCTTTCTTTCTTCATGGGTTTCTCAAATTTCTTATACCTTTGTTTTTCATATTCAATTTGTTTCACTCTTCTCACTTTATCAGCTAGCTGAGCCATGTCATTCAATGGTAAATTAACCAATTTTTTCCTAATCGAGAATTCTAAGCCTACGGAGGCCATTCTGACTAATTCATATTCAGGAATTTGAGTAAAGCATCTTGACTTCAATTGTCTAAATCTATTCAAATAATCGTCTATACTTTCATGATTGTATCTCTTTATATTCATTAAGTCGATGAGACTTACTTGGGTCTCCCCTCTGAAGAATTGCTCATGAAAATTTCTTTCCAATTGCAACCAATTATATATCGAATTGGGTGGCAACGAAGTAAACCAAGTGAAAGCATTCTTAGTTAATGAACTAGGGAAATATTTCATTTTTAATTCTTCACTCATAGCTAGGTCCCCACATTCGATCTGATATCGAGCTACATGCTCGATAGTGGACTCACCAATTTCTCCAGCAAATTTGGTGAATTTAGGTACTTTGTATCCTCGAGGTAATTCTGTCTCGAGAATCGTATTTGGAAAAGGAGAAACAAAGTATGGTTGATTGGGTGGCCTTAATTCTACCCCTTGAGGGTTCATCCTTTGCCCTGGCATGTGGTTATACTGCATGTTATTTTGATTATACATGTTCTGAAATCCCTCATTCAGATTTCCATAAATATCATTCCTCACATGCTGATATTCGTTCCCCATATTCTGATGTTGATCATTGTGTCGATTTCTCCTTAATAAATAAGGAGGATTAATATTAGCGTTCTGGTTAATGCTCTGATTGGCATGATTTTCCATTCTCGTTTGTCGAGGTATGGCCAATGCATCCCCGATACGGGCCATTTGGTCTGCTATTATCTCAAAACTAGTAGTAGTGTTTTGAACTAATGGGTTTAGGACTGTAGTCAACTGTTGTGACAACATATTAACCATCTCAAAATTGCTTTCATCCATTTGTTGTCTAAGTACTCCTAATGAGTTACTGGAGATTCCAGTACTAGCATTTTCGATAGTCTCGAAATTGGATCGATGATAATCTCTATCGAATGTATATCTCTCATGATCCAGATTTGCTCTGTGATCTAGGTTTGGAGGTGTTTGTTGTGTACCTAAATTCTGCACATTCCCTGAATTCTGGGGGGTTACTGAATTTTGAGACGCCCCTAAATTTGGAGATACTCCGAAATTTTGCGGCATACCTAGAGTTTGAAATGTACCTAAGTTTTGAGGCATTCCTAGGTTAAATCTCGAATTTCTTTGTACTGGAGAAGTACCAGCCCCATTCATATTATTAAGCAAAAAACCAGGCGGCCTTACGCTCATATACGACCCTACATATGTTGTTATGGGGTTCCCATAGTTTGCATATTGTTTGGTATCACAGTACTAGACCCTACTTGAGTATTTGCTAATGTACTTGAACTTTGTTCATTACTCACAGGTATCGACATACCCGCGGTTGTCGATACTACAGGCATATTCCCATTATGCCCTTGCCCCCCAGTGTTTGGTGGATGTGAACCATTCAGACCGTTCAAACCCTCACTGTTACTCTGGTTATTTGATGGATTCTGACTCATTCTTATTACTCGCCCACTCCTTAATCTCATACACTTTCGAACTAACCAATTTTGTGTTTTTCGACACAAATGCCCCCTACCTGGCGCGCCAATTTATTTCTTGTGGAATTTTGATAGATTTCGATTCTTAAGAGACTTTGGTTCTAACCAAATTCCTACCACGTAGATTCTTTTTACTTAGGCTAGCAAATAGTTTTCAATCGAAACTTTGTATGAGAATCGAAAGTCCTATAGTATCGCAAATCTTAATACAACCTAATGGCGATCGAAAGCACTATTTTTGGTATTTTGTATTTAAAGTACTCAAAGTAAAGAAAGTAGTAAAGTGTCAAATTGAAAAGCAGTACAGAATATAAAATTACGGAGAAATGTAAAATACGGGAACCATAAATTCGCATTAAATGTAAACGGCAAAGAATTGAAATTGCGGACATGTAAATAACAGGAAATTGAGATTGCAGAAATGCAAACGACAGGAAATCGAGATTGCATAAAGCGTAAATAGCGAAGAACTTAAATGCATAATCTTAACTTACATAGAAGTAAAATAACAAGGAATCGAAAGTACATAAACTTAAAGTTGCTGAACGTAAAATGCATCAAAGTAAATTACATGAACATAAATTACCAGGGAAAGTAAAGAAAGCGGTACAGATAATCAATGAACATAGAAATCCAGATCGCCAGAAACTTCATGATTGCGTCGTTCTCTGGTAGACTTCTCACTAGTATTTCTGTTCTCTTTGTCAATTCCTCTTTTTTTCCAGTCTTCGCTCTATTTATAGGGCATCCTTCAAGTATCCTCCTAAGAGTGGTTAATAAAAAGTGTCACCACGATCCTACGTGCACGTACTTTTAGTCTTTACAGTTTAAAAACTGCACTCCACGTTCTTATGTATAAGAGAACTGCTCCCTTGACCTTCGATCTCTGTCGTGGTTTGGAAACCGTTTCCCATGTTTCCTGTGTATGTTAACCACTCCCTCGATCTCGATTTCGGACATCGGGTCTTTTAAATTTTGCTTTTGATTCTCTTTAACTTTGCGCTATTCTAATCTTTCGATTCTCTTCAACCATAGGCATCGAGATTTGTTTCTTCGATTCTCGATTTTGATTCTCGATGTGTTTTTATCTTTGTCGTCTCCAGGTATCTTTTACCAATTTCATCGAAAACACGTTCTCGATGTCTTTTACCAATCATATGATCTTCGATTTTTTCTTTCCTTCATTTTTCGATCCTTTTAACGATTTCCTACTAACACTTTCACAAACAAATATCAAATTTGATATTTAGGATTTTTTTTTAATTTTAAAAGGTTGAGATTAACTTATTTAAATTTAAACTACCTAATTTAAAATTATTCTAAATTTTAAGAACTAAAATTATAATTTAATGTTACTATGGATGAATTAAAGTATATCTTCTTCTTTACCATTACAAAACTATTAACTCATATATTTTGAAATATAATATTATATATTTAAATATATACTATTGGATGATATAATTAAGATTCCATTAAATTTGTAGACAAAACGCCACATAATTAATTACACACATATCAATTAATTTTGTATCGAAAAAAATAATCTCTTATGTTATTTAAAATTTGAAGATCAACAATAAAATTATAGGGCTTGTCCTTGATAAATTAGTGCTTCAACGGATGAAACTAGGTGATTTAGTCGTTTTTTATGCTTAAATTTAAAATTTAATAATGTTTTTTATTATTATAAAATTAATAAAATGATTAAATTCACATTTTCTAAATTTAAAAACTAAAATTAAATTTTACGAAAAATAAAAATGGAGACGTTGCTGTATTTGACAGAAAGTATAAAAGATACAAATATATCTTTTCCATCTGGTGAGAAATCATAAACCGTACGTGGGGTTAAACTCTCTCTATATATATAACATGAAGTAGTGTCTCGGGCATTCGATGATTAGTAAATAGAATATGAAGTTGAAGAAAATAAGATAAATTAGTCCATATATATCTTACTAGGACAATATAAGATACATCATAGAACAACAAAAACATATAATACATAAAACAGATACGGCCATTAGTTTCTTTACCCTGAACCATAAAGCTCAAGGGTAAAAGCAAATAACATCAAATGTTAATCACTAAGAATTCACCAGAACTTAAAAACTTGCTCAGACCAGTCTTGCACTCTACAAAAGACAACTAGCTCAGTAACGATGAATGAGTTGCTTGTATGCATCCTTGTGCTTGGTGTAATGGGCAATTTCAGCCTGAAAATATGTCACATTAAGCATCAAAATTAGCAGCTTGGCCAAGAAAATCATAGAAATGAACATAAGAGCAGTGCATCCTCCACAGCTAATCACTAACTTTATGATCACGCTGCAGAATTCGGTGAAACCCAAAATATATTTATACTTATTACCTTCAGATTTTTTTTATTAAAAGTGAAGTTATATTTTCTTGATACTAGACAAACAATACATTTGGAAAACATGCTTTCACAAGAAAATAAGAAAAGCATTTGCCTAATAATTCCCAAGCGTAAAAGCATTTTATATAGTGGGAATTTTAATTTAAAAGCATCTACACCGAACACATACCTTTCGAATGGCTTTGATGGCAGTTAGAAACTTATCACTGATAAATTCTTTAAGGAAGTCATCATCCTCATGGAGAGCATCCAAAGATTCAGAAAGTGATGCTGGCAATCTCTGAAGGATTTCAGCATTTGGATTTGCATCTGTTTCATACATGAAATGTTTATTGTTTATTTAGTGTTTGTATACAGGGATCTGAAAATTATAAGAACCAAACAGAAATTAATGCAAACCGTCATGCAAATTGGTAAAACGAACATGAAAGAGAAAAAGGGAAAAAAAGGAAGCAAATTTGAAACTAAACTTTATAGATTTAAATAAAATTAAGCATCCACTGTGCTTCAAGTTTTTAGGAGTCTTGAATTAACTCTATTGTGATGCATAACCAGCAGAACTAAGTTATGCCAGCAAAAATGACATTATTGGTCAAGTTTTGTGAGCCCCACATTGAGTAAATTACTTGACGTGATACTAATATTTTGGATTGGATTCTCCTTGACTGTTGAAGTCCTAAAAAGTTTTTATAAGATTTCATAAGAATCGTAATATGATGAAAGATTTATACAATTTATATTGAACTTCTGTTACGTTACTACTAACTAACACAAAATAGCTAATTATTTTAATATGTTCTAGCTCATGGTTGATATAAACAAACATTAGATGATCTTACCAACAGGTTCAGGAAGAGGAAGATGCCTTCGAAGCCCATCAATGCCAGCAGCAAGTATGGCAGCTAAACCCAAGTATGGATTGGCTGAACCATCAAATGATTTCATCTCAAAGTTGCTGACTAGACCGTCGAGAGTTCCAGGTGGAGATGAAGCTCGTAATGGAGCCTCCTTATTTTCGTTTCCCCAGAATAGGTACGCACCGCTCCATGTATTGGGTTGTAATCGATCATAACTGCAAGGAATTTAGACAGCAACGAAACATTGCAGCATAAATCCAATAGGTGTTCAGTAGCCAAGATTTTACTTAACACTACGTTAACAAACATATTAGTTTGGCATTTCTATTTTACTAGAGGGGTAAATAAGCCCTATAACTTCAACGTAACAACTTAAACTTCATCAACAGTGGCAATATAATGTCATACAATAACATCAGTTTCAGTAAAAAACGAAAGAATAAGACAATGGGAAGAGCAACCTGTTTGGAAGTGGTGCTATAAAGGCCAAGGTTGAAGGAAGATGTTGTAGAATTCCGGCCATAAATTCCCTTCCCAAAGTTGATATTCCATGCTTAGATGATCCATCAGATCCCATGAATACATTTTGGCCATTCCGCCACAAGCTAAGATGAACATGCGACCCAGAACCCAGATCATCCAATGCGTACCTTCAACAATATCACGACAAAACTGTTACTCCAAAAAAACTTATTTTTGACCGTTACAGTACCCTCTGTAGGATATATGATATATGTGTCTTCACGTTTGATTGTGAAAACGTTGATTATTAATAATTTTATGATAAAAAAAATTGATCGTATACAAATATATTGAAATTATTTATTTTAACTTTGTTAAATTCGATTGGGTATTTTTAATTGGGAGAAAGAGAAAAAGTTGTGGAGTATAACTATTGCTTAAAGCTAAAATATGCATATTCAAATCATGAGGGTATTTTTATCAACACAGTACATACAAAATCAGGATTTTTCCCCATAGAAGATACAAGCATGGGCCTTTTTTACAACATTATCATAATACAATTATGCTCAGATGGTGTCAAATATACTGGTATTGCCTTCAAAACAGGTTTGAGATTCAAATTTGATTCTTCGGTTCAAAAATCTGAATTAGACAGATAGTATATAAAACTTAACAAACTTCGCCACTTACTTTGGAATAAAAGTTGCCAGCAACCCATGTTTTCTGGCGATTGCCCTAATAACTTCACGGGTGAAAATTAAGTTGTCTGCAGCTTTAGTGCAAATAGTATACTTCAAAACCACCTCAAATTGTCCTTTTGCAGCTTCACCGTGTAACTAGGATGTTACAGAAAAAAGTTAAGTTAAAAAATTGGGCCAAAGGTGACAGCTGGAAAAGATGTATCAGGCAATGTCTTCAAACATGCTAAATAGGATGATCCTTTTAAGCTCCTTGGTCATGCTTAAACCCAGATCATTCATGATTGGTATGACTTTTCAATGCTTTCTATCAGTTTTAAGAATATAGAGTTTTGGTAGTGCCCTGTAGTCACTATTACTTCTGGTTACAGGGTTATTAGGTTTACCTTAACCTGGTTTCATTTATGTGAAAGCAATCTTCAGAAGATAAAATAGTATTCAATAAAAATCATACGAAGCCATATCATATCTTCACTTGCAATTGATCATGACACAAATTTCCTTTTTACCTGTTCAACTGAAATTCCCAAGGAATGAAGAGCATCAACAACTTCATGAAGTATGGGGGAAGCAGAATCAAATGCTGATGTGGAGCAGTATGGACTAGAGTCAAATGATATCCATTCCTCTTTACCTTCCCTGGATTTTTTTTTCTCCACATTTTTAACTAATTGCCCTGTAAATTGTACTATTTAGATCACAGAGATATTATTATATAACATACCTTATTAACCTCTTTAAGAGAATAAATTCATTCTCAAATCCTGCATTCATTTCCTGGAAGTGGAAGCAGAGGAAAAGTTAAAAAACGTATACTTCTCAATTGATAAGACAAACTCTGCTTCTTACCAAGTCAAATTCATCTTTCAGAATTTTAGAAGCTCTTCTCAAGACATTTCTTGGGCAATATTCCCAAGCTTCACCAGGTTTAACACACATATCAGCTAAAACCATTTCATCTTTTTTATTCCTATACAAAAGAGAGTTGCATTAGTAAAAAAAATTGTATTTATCTTCTCAAGAATATATTTCTGGAAATCAAAGAAGTCTATACACCTAAAGATGACTTCCATTCCGGAAGACTAGTTCTTGATCCATGCAATGGTGTAATTTCTATTTACTTAATTAATAAACATGACAACAATCAAATACAAAATATAGTTAACAGAAAGAAGAAAAAAAGAAAAGAAAAGATAGTTACACAACACGATAAACAAAACATGAGTAGTAACAAAAATGTGAAACAGATGTCAAATTGATATGAGGAAAAGACATAAGGAAAAAAAATAAACATAAGATATAAAATGCAAAAATATCTGCTCCCAAAGCTTCAACGACATGGGAAAAAACAAAATGCCAGTTGCCAATTAAGAGACGGGAATTGGAAGGTTCACTGTTCTGAGTTCTTCATACAACTTATAAAGACTGTAAACAATTACACGGAGCATAAACAAGCATATGTCACAATAGGGGTGTTTAAATAGCAGAAAAAAGAAGAAGATATTTTCCTTTCAGCTTTTCACTCATTAATTTATTGAAAAACATTAGAAATTCACATAAAATTATGTTTGATAACTTGAGAAGTTTAATATATGGAAAAGTTTATATATCCTTTAAAGAAAAATATTATTTACCATGGAATTCTCCTTAGAGTAGACAAATCAGGCATTAATCTTGTTTCACCAACGGCAGTTAGACCAGTCCCGTCTGCAGGTCCGTCCATAAAAGAAGAGAAACCCATAACCGCGAATGCTAAACCAACCCCATTCTTTACAACGACATCATTGAAACGTTTTTTAGGAACCACCTGAAATAAAATACAACTTCATCTCAACATGAAATTTAAATAAATAAAAAATCCTGAATCAGCTGTACTGATGTTTTACGGGCCTGTACAGCCAAAAGTTAAATGCCTAAAGACATAAATTTGCACTCAGAGTATGTGCTCAAGGAATGAGGGGTGCAGCATTAGAAGAAAGTGATTCAGTATTAGGAGTGAGAACAAGAGGTAAGAAAGAACAGCAATATGTAAAAAACAACTTTCTGTGATTTCTAATTATATTTACATTTAGAGACAATGTCTCAGTCAGGGGGGGTATTTTCATTTTATTTTTTCACTTAAGACATATATAGACATGAACTAAGTCAACTGGTTTCCAAGAGATTGAAAATGCATCTAGCATCCCGCATTATTCCTGACTTCTCGGTTCATTGTGTCAACTATACATCATAGTTTACTATTTTCATGATCTTCATCAATCTCCTCGCACATAAAGAGACATTTCACAATCGCAGTAGCACATACGGAAAATTATTACCAAAAACATAAGTGCAGAGAAAACATGCAGCTAAATTTCTTATATAGTTTTCTCCTGGAAGACAGAATGATATAATTGATAAAAACAGAACAGATCATAATACAAAATCGAGCATAAAAGAGGTAGAAGGGAGAAGCAAAACTGATATTTTGATATTATAATTTTGCACTCAGATTTTACACACTTTGTAATTTTTTAGCAAGAACTTAAATACAAAAGCTACGAAACTCCTACTCACACAACACAACAAACAATAAATTATGACTACGATAAAAGCAGACATCGTTAGCCCACACCTATAGCTAGCTTTTTTTCTGAACACAAACAAACTTTAAGCAAACTTACAAACAAAATGAAAAACTACAGAAATATTAAATGCAAGCTGAATATCTCAATTGCAAACAATAATGCAACTGACACGTTACGTATTAATGCGAAATGATAGCAAATCATTTTCTTCTTGCGTAGATTTCATTTTTTTTCCCTTGGTCGTAATGATATGATATATAAGATAAAAAACATAAGACTGACTATATACGACATAATTGGTGAGAACCATGCAATTTAATTTGATTAAAAATTTAAACAGACTAAAGAATGGATCTACCATTTGAAAATTCGAAGTATATTTTTCCCCATTTTCCTCCCAAGGTTCGCACATAACAATGAAGTAAAAGAAAGGCACTTGAGGGAAACTCACACGACATCTATGCTGTCCGGAACCATCAACCCACGTGATACGAACAAGTGACACATCAATGTCTAAGCCATCATTCAACTTTTGGGACAAATTACTATGTGAACTAACAACACTGTTAGCTAAACTAATCTTGTAGAAGTGAATTGCATTTCGTGCAAAGATGTCCTTTACAGCTTCCACAGCCTCAGTAAGTGAGAGATCACCATCAATGCATGCATCCCGTAGAACAGAGAAAACAACTTCACGAGACTTCTTTGCACCTGTAAAAGAAAAAGCCATTGCTTTAACCAGTAATATTCACGCTATGAGTCAATAGGTAGAAATTTTTTAAGTCCGTAAAAGCAACAGAGAGATAAAGGTTGCTCTCATTTTCCATATAGAAGCAATTCAAGCATTAATTCAGCAGAATCAGCACATCTAGTTGTTTACTACATTCTAATCCTTAGGGCTCAAAAGAAGTTATAAACTTAAAAATATTCAAAGGCGCATAAGTTGAAATCATAATATCTGAAAACTTATATATTCATCTATAATCATATTTTTATGTCTTCCAGTTAGCACATGCAACTTGGGTTTCCAGCATTAGTGTATCTTAGGCAAAGATTATGAAAAAAAAATATATATAAGAACAATTTAATTGATACAAGTTACATGACTGTAACTTATCCTCTTTACGAATTGAGTTAGGATCTCTACTAAAAATCAGACCTGTCTCTGAGTGAGTTATTAGTACACTTGTTCATTCAACAAATAATAGTTTGTTATAACTTATAAAAGTTATTAATTTTTGTTAGCAATGAGTTATTAACAGTTTGGTATAGACATTCTGACTCTAATAATATCACTTATGTGGCTAGCAAAAGTCAAGAAAACACATAGAATACAAATAGAAGGGCACTCTCAAAGAATCAAAGAAGTCAATGAAGTCAATGATATATTAGAGATACTTCAAGAATTGAAGCAAACCATGTGCAACTTTCCAATACACCTCCTCAAATTGTCCACCAGATATATAATCGCACTCCAAGAATTGAGATAGATAATGTGGGACTTCTCAACATGGGTAACATTTGTAAGAACTTTCTTTTGATCAAGATTACCCTATCTTGAGTGGAGATAGACTGAAGGTTTGATGATTATTTTTAAAATAAACAAACCCTTTAAAGGTAGCAGAAGGTTCACCAAGTTCTTATAAGGAAAATTTCAAGATGAAGGGACTTCTCAACATGGGTAGCATTTGTAGGAACTTTCTTTTGATCAAGATTAGTCTATCTAGAGTGGAGATAAACTGAAGCTTTCGTGATTATTTTTGAAAGAAAGAAACCCTTTAAAGGTAGCAGGAGGTTCATCAAAGTTCTTAAAATGAAAATTTCAAGGTGAAGAGAAGTAAATCTCAAGTGGTTGCTTTGCTTGGTCCGTGGTTAGTGTTGCTACTAAACCAGGATGAACTGTAACATATCTTCTCTCTTTTCCTTTTATGTTTTCAATCATTCTATTCTTATGCTTATCTCAGGAATTTCATGGCATCAATGTAAACATGACACACCTACTCAGACATGAGGCCAAATAAAGACCAAGATGCCAACAAATTATCTTGTCCATTACTACAACATGATAAATTAGTACATAACAATTATTAATAAGCCACAGAATGAATTGAACTAGTGCCACAGATCAAATGAGAACTAACAAGTTTTTATGAAACACGCAGAATATTTCTTCTATTTTTCATCAAATCGGATGAGTAATTAACTATATATTTGCAATAAACTGGACAACGCTATCACAAGTCAGGTACTCAGGTGTATATCTCAAGGCAGCAAAGAAAACAGCATATATTTTAGGACAAAAATAATAAGATACTGAAATACCACAACAAAGAACTTAACTCTAATCTTCAAATTTAGGTGTAATAGTAATATTAACCAACCTAAGTAAAATGTTTCAGGAAATGCATAGCCATCAGTACTGAACATAACCTGCATTGCAAAGTTTATTCTTGTGAGACACTGCATGTCGTGGCCAGAAGTTATTATCTTGCGATTTACATGTTTCACTGGATAACTCAAAGTTCAAGAAGATTCTAATTTCATTATAAAATTCTTATTCCTTTGGAATTTCACAGTCAATTTATTTTGTTCCAGTTCTTAGTGCAAGGTACTTATACCTGAAAACTTCTAATCTTATAGTGAAAAATTATCCGGATTGCTTTTAGTGTCACCTTATTTATTGGAGCCAACTCTAATAGCTCTTTCATTGAAGAAATCATCCCATGTACACTTAGCTTTGGAATTGCCAACCCAAAATCAAGGTAGACCTGAAAGAGAAGATTGTGTTAACCACCAGTTATCCAGTAATTCAAATATACTTTTGCCAATCCATTAAGTTGTAAAATGTTTGCCTGTGAGTAAACAGATGCTAGATAGGACGCTTCCCTTGAGAATGGGTAGGATGCATGTAAAAGAACAATCCGAGACTTCAAGTATCTCTTGTCCTCAAGAACAGCACGTAGATGAAGAGGATTGGACAGACGCATATCCAAATCTTTATCCCCAAATCTAGTTAACGAAAGAACAAATTAGTATCCTAAAGCTGAGAATCATAGTGATATGTGCCCTGACAGCTGTAAATAGGATAAAAAAGCTTTGGCATTTGAGAAGTGTGGTAAATCCTAAAAGTGGACAAGGCACAAACTAATTTCGACTAACTAACATCAGCAATGTTTTGAGACCATAATATAGTCCCAGCCCAGCTCAATATGCTTTGTTGTTGAAGTAACCTTACTAATTAGGTTATGTTAAGCACATAGAAATTCAAATTATTTCAATTCAACTTAGCTGAATAATTTTTTAAATTCCCCAAGAGTTATCAAAATCCCAAACTTTTATCATTTATTTCCCCAAAATACTTGGAAAGCTGTATATGTAAAAGTATCTAACAAAATTTAAAACTATCCATTACCCTGTGTGTATCTGCATTGGCAGGTCATAGGACTGAGCAACTTCCAAACTTTGTAAGAAGATGTAGTCAATAAGATTTTTGTTTGCAATACGAACAGGCTTCCCAGCTGAAAGTATAGAAAGGTGAGAAAGAATATCCTGCAACAGATTATACCAAAACAAACCTGCACACTCTACTCACCAATTAATACTTGCCTAAGTCCTTCCTCAGCATCATTTTTAGTAACATTAGTATTGATTTCTAAGCCACTGCGGTATGCAGCTATGCTTTTCAATCCAAAGATCTCACCAGCAACTGTAACAGCATTGCTAAGGAATACAACTTTAGTAGTAAATTCCTATGCAGCTAAACAGCATTGAGCGCGTGTATGGAGAGAGAGGGAGAAAAAAAATATAAAGGATATGATTTCAACTTTGAGACAAATGCTTTAGTAAATGAATCCAAAGTCCAAGAAGATCCATCAGCCAAGTCCTTCAACATCAGATTTATATATGAGATAACATCAAAAGATGAATGACCTAAAGGCAGAAAATCAACTGCAAATAGACTGATGCAATTAAACAGAGTTGGCAAAATACAAAATTGAACAATTACATATTCCTAACTACAGCAGAGGCCTTGATTCACAGATTTCTGTTGAGAATAATTTCCCTAATAACATTTAATTCCTTCAAATTTATCAAATTCACTTTTAGACTTAACAGCCGCATAAGAATATCCAGAGATAATGAACACATTCACTGTTCAGAAAAATTAAAGAAAAGACGAGACAAAGTTGATATTACTAAATAACAAGCTATAATTTTAGGCAACACCCAAGGCAGACAATCCTTCCTCAATTGATCAATCAATTCTAGTTCTGGCGGAAAGCATATAACCTTCTGGCCTGCTATCACGCTCGGATGTCTTGTACATCTCAGCATCCCATAGACTGTAAGGACAAAATTTCTTTTTTTTTTTTTTTCCAGTCATATACTATAGGATCTTAAAATGCTGGGGACAAAAATCACTTGCTAGTTTCTTCCTTCCTTTTCTCCCTTGAAACTGTAAATTACTGTTTAACACTCAAAATTTGCAAATCCAAACTAAAAGTTGATATAAAATTGATTAAATTATAATTTAGTTGGAAATTATCTTTTAACGAAGACTAAGGAATCTCTACTTAAAGAATATTCTCCGACAAATTATGCTGAACATATTCGAACATTAATTTGCTGAAACCGATCAAGGAATGCTGTAATTAACTAAGCAGAAGAAGCCTTTGGAATGAATGCACAAATAGGGAATGTTCATAAGCAGAACTACTGGACTATAATGTGTTAACTTAGAGAACAAAACAGGTTAGGAGGAACTGAATATTATTAATCGGTGGTGTTAAAACCAGAGAATACACCACTTATTTATAGTTATAAACATAGGGTATTGCAATTACACTCATTGTAACTGCCTAATGATTACATCAGTCAACTAACTTCTAAAATTTAATTTTCCTAACAAAACTCCCCCGGAAATTAAATGTTCTCATAATTTTGTCCGAGCTGGCCAAATGGCAAGCTCCCGAGCTCCTTCCATCCGACATTCAGAGCATCTTCTTGCATATTTTCGAACAACACCACGGGCAATGGCTTTGTGAAGACATCAGCTACTTATTCTCGGTTTCTCAGCACAAGCTCCACACGTCCTTTTTCACATGTTCTCGAATAAAATAAAACCAATCAATATGTTTGCTTCTCTCACGGTAAACTAGATTCTTAGTTAAATTGCCGACTTGTTATCAACTCAAATTATTGTTGCTCCGAGTTGTTTCTCCTCCAACGAGCTAAGTAAATTCCTCAACCATACTTCATGGCACATACTCCATGATGTTGTTACATACTTGGCTTCACAAGTTGACAACGTCACTATCTTAAACTTTTTCAACACCTCTAAGCCAAGGAAAAATTTCATTAGACCTAGATCAGTCATTTCAAACTCAATCGTTATTGTATCCTTAAATTCTTGAATAACTTCATAATTGTTGCCCATGAATATGAGATCGTCCACATAAAGAGAAACGAACATCATGTTACCTCCACTCTCCTTTACGTACAAGGCGTGTTCAAAAGGACACTGTTCAAACCATTTTGCTTGAAGTAAGTATCAATACGTTCATTCCATGCTCAAAGAGTCTACTTTAGACCATACAACACCTTCAACTTCAACACCTTTATCATTTCACCCTTCTTCACATAACTGGGTGGTTGCTCTACGTATACTTCTTCTTTGAGTACTCCATTCAGGAATGCAGACTTAACATTTGCATAATTGGTCATTTATATTGAGCTGTCAGGGAGATTAGTAGCCAAATAGTTTCCATCTTTGCTACGAGTGCAAATACTTCATCATAATCTATCCCTTCTCTCTACTTATAACCTTTTGTAACCAGTCGAACTTTATAGCATTCAATTTCTCCTTGCGCATTCACCTTCTTCTTGAAGACTGACTTTACACCAATCGGTTGTGTGTTTATCGGTAGCTCAGTCATTGCGCATGTATCATTTTTCTCTATAGCTTGGTTTTCGTCGTCCATCGTAGCCTAAAACTTCTCACTTCTCATTCCTCACTACTTCTTCAAAACTAATATTCTTGGTATCTACTTAGAGACATACAACATACACCTCATTTGTTGAGTTGTAAAGGTCTTGTAGACTTCTCATCCTCGGTTGTGGTTTTTTCTCCTCGACTTCCGAGCTATCTACAACTGGCGGTGTAACATTTCAACTTCTAGTGCTCTCGGTCGAGTCTTCCTCCCTCCAATTCCACTCACTAGTCTCATCGACTTGGACATCCTAACTTATGACTACCCTCTTATTGATCAAATCTATTAGTCTATAGGCTTTTGTGTTCTCATCATATCAAATGAACGTATATTTCTTGCTTCTGTCTTCGAGCTTCGTTCTCTATTGGGAGAACACTACTCCATAGGCAATGCTTCCAAAAATTCTAAGATGAGACATAGATGGTTTTTTACCATTCCATGTCTCGTGAGGTGTTACATCATTCAGTTTCGCATGTGAACATCTGTTCTGCACATATACCGTACACTGCACTACTTCCGCCCAGAATTCCTTTCGGCATATTTTTGGTTTTCAACATTAATCGGACCATATTCAAATCAGTTTGATTTTCCCTCTCAGCCACCCCATTTTGTTGTAGTGAGTATAGAGTTGTCGAGAATCTTCTTATGCCTTCATCTTCTCATTACTCCGTGAAGGCAGCTGATGTAAATTCTCCTCCTATCAGATAAGATAGACTTGATAGATCTCCTAGTTATCTTCTCTATCGTTGCCTTGAATATTTTAAACACTTCAAACACCTCAAATTTTTCCTTCAAGAAATATATCCATTTTTCCTCCAAAAATCAACAAACATCATAAAATATCTTTTTCTGCTGAAAGAATTGGGGGTGATCGACCCATATAAGTTGGTATGAACAAGTTTGAGATGCTTGGTACTTGGCACTCTTCGGAAATGGAGTCCTCAGTTGTTTGTCGAGTACATGTTAAGTGGCAAAAGTTGATGTAATTATGCTTTGTATTGTTATTTAATCACTTAAATTATGTTGATTCTAATCTATTTTTCTCCTAATGTAGGATGAATTTACAGAATACCTAGGTGAAAGAGCAAGGATCATAATTCTCAAGTTAATTGAAGAAAAATTGGAAAAAAGGAAGAAGATTTTCAGCCTAAGATTCGCTCGAGTGGGGTAGATGCTTGCTTGAGCGAAAATACGTTAAATCACTCTGGAAGTCATTCGCTCGAGCGAGACGGGCGCTCGCTTGAGCGAAAATACATTAAAGCTCTCGGGAATTTAATCGCTCAAGCGAGCAAATTCTCGCTTGAGCGAAAATCATCAGTACTCGCTTGAGCGAAAATATCCGCTTGAGCGAATGCTGCGAAATTTTTATATAAAAAGATAAGATGTGTTTTGAAAAAGAGGGTTCGAGATTTTGAGAAGAGAGATAGTATCTACTCCAGTTTTCGTCCAATCTTCAATTCTTCTTGAATTCTTCTTCATTGGATCATTGTAATGGCCATCATGAGTGGCTAACTTCATTCTCTTAGGATTGGGTGCACTTTCTTTGAACTCTTTTGTATCTTGGTAATATTTTGAGATATTAATCTATGTTCTTGATGTTGATATTCTTATCCTTTGTGTTCTTTAATATTTATCATTGATGTTTGGGATGTATTGAAAAATATATCTTGAAAACCTAGATCAGGTTAAGAATATTTGCTATGTCAATTGCTAGGAATGGTAATGGATGTATCAATTGCTTAACACCCTAAACCTAATGCTGGAAAATATCTTAAAAGTACGAGGAATCAACGTTTATTAGGTTTTCTTATGAATTTCATGTGTGAGAAATCAATATGAATGAATTGAGTAGGTGACATCAACATTGATAGGTTAATTGACGTTCTTAATTTGACCTAGCCATGATACAAAGGAGGGAAAAGGAAGTAAGTCAATCCTAAGATCTTATAATTCTTTTCTAAATACATTTTATAGTTTTTTACTGTTTGTGTTCAATTCCAAAGTTTATGAAAACCCAGTTTGCGTTAATACACTTAGTAAGCAGATGATTCGGAATTTCCAGTGAGACCGTTCTTTGTGGGATCGACTTTTATTTAATCGAAATACTATACTGCGATTGATAATATTGGTACGCTTGCCAATTATTTAACAGTACACAATCTTCACAAAACTTCACTGCGCCCTGTAAGCTCGGCAATCCGAGCATCGTGCACTTTTTCAACAACTCCGCCGAAGCGATGATGCCATTTTAACTCTATGTCCTCTACGTTAAGTTCCAGACATCTTTCCCAAATACTCCTTAAGTGCAATTTATACATCTTTTTTTGTTCTCATCTCCACTTCAACAATCAACCTTCCGAGCTTGTCTTTTAGTTGTAATACTCAGTCTTGCATGAACATTGAGTATCCCTTCTCCATTAGTTGTCTCATGTTCAAAATATTACTCTTTGAGGTCCAGTACATAGTATACATCTTGGATTGATCCAACTAACCTATCATTATGTAAAAAATGAATTGTACCTCAGCCTTTTATTGAGATCTTCGAGACATCTCCAAATGACATAGTTCCACCTTTCACCTTCTTTAATTCTTTAAAATCATTTTCGTCTCCATTCATATGGTTGCTCACCCTCATATCTAGATACCATACCGAGTTGTTCTTTGTTTCTATGTGTTCGGCCAAGTTGTGATCGACCATCAATAACGACAATTCTTCTGCCTGCTCTGTGAAGTATGTTTCTTCCACCTCTTCTTGCCTTGACAATATTTCGCAAAGTGCTCCACCTATCCACAGTTAAAACATTTTTTCGAGTAGCAGTCTTTAGTATAATGGTCATATTTACCACACTTAAAACATTCAACATTGGAGTTACTTGTCGTTCGACCTTTACCACCTCATCCTCACCAATTTTGTTGATTTTCCTTTTCCTCCTCACGACCTCTACCAATTCAGCCACCTCAGCCCCAGACTCGTCCTCATCTTTGCCCTCGAGAATTTTGAGAAGAAAGGATCTTTTCACATGTCTCGGTTTTGAGCGTTTGAATTGTTGTTTCCTCCTTCTTCTTCTTCTTCCTGTGTTCATAAGCTTCAAGTGATCCGAACAACTTATTCATCGTTAACTCTGATAATCCTTTGATTGTTCTATTAGACATACATGTTCTCAAAATCATCATCTCAACACTTTCTCCACAACCCAGTCTTCAAAGAATTCTTCTCCATTCCTACTGAGTTGAGTCGCCACCACTTCAACACGCGCAACATATTCAGACACCCCTTTTATCTCCTTCATCTTCATGTTTTCCATTCCCCTGTACGGTGTTTGTAACCTCACCCTTCTAATTTTGCCATCATCTCTATAAGCTCTTTCTAGAACCCCCCATGCTTCCTTTGAAGTTTTCGCATTTGCTATCTTCTTGAAAACAACTTCATCGATAGCTTTGTATAGCATGTATAGAGTTGCACTGTCCTTTTCGCATTTTTCCTTCAACGCCTTGTTTGCAACTACAGACAACCCTTCTGTACTCTTTGGTTCTTCAAATCCATCTTCTAAAATTTCCTAGATACTCTAGGATCTCAAGAGTGCCTTCATTTGGAGGCTCCAATTGTCATACTTAACCGTTTTCGTCAATCGTGGCAAAGCCATTCTACTTGCCAGAGTGGCCATCTTCTTCTCCAAGATCTCACACCCAACTCTCAGACTCTTGATACCAATTTCGTAACTTAGAGAACAAAACAGTTTAGGAGGAACTGAGTATTATTAATTGGTGGTGTTAAAACCAAAGAATACACCAGATATTTATAGTTTTGAAACATAGGGTATTGCAGTTACACTCAAACAATAACCATTGTAACTGCCTAATGATTACTCGTTCAACTAACTTCTAACATTTAATTTTCCTAACATAATGAACCTTGAAATTTTGCAAAACACAAGAGATTTCTCTTTATTTTAAAACCTTTGTTTTTCTTTAATTTTATAAAATGCTTGCACAGAAAGGAAGTAACACAGATGTCAGAAATTGTGAGAGCCTAAACCTCTAGCTTCAACAATAGAGAAGGGATTTGAATCTCCTTCTTGCATAAATTATCAATCATGTGGAAATAAACAGTAACATTAAACAAATACCACAATGGGATCTTTATGTCCCCAAGAAATACTGTAATGAAATTTCACCTAAGATACCTAATAATCATGGTAATGCAAATTAAACGTGAATTTGTGCTGGTCTCTACCTCATCAAGGATTTGCTCGGCCAACCGTTCAATTCTTAAGATTCTACCAACAAAAGGTATAAAACTCTTGTGCCATTCTATATCATGCTTTTTATCCAATTGTAAGCCATCATCAATAAGTACGGCAGTGATCCTTGCAGCTTTGAAGCATGATGAGCAGATGGATTGCATTCCAGATACTCTACGGTGTTCTTCAACACTTTGCAAAGATAACCCGGATCCATACAGCTCAGCAATCTCTCTTAAACTTCTCTGTCACAGTAACATGACAAAATAGGCTGTTATAATAAGATACCAGCCAGAGTGAAAATAAAGTTCCACAGACAAAATTTTAGAAGATAATATTTTGGCAATATAACTTGAAGTGTAAAACAATGTACAGGTGCTAAAATCCACATCCAATTGACCAACACTCTGATACATGGAAACCCAAAATAATTAATCAAATGTAATATTATTTAAAGAGGTGTAGTACTCTCTAAAACTTTTCTTATTAGTCAAAATTGATTGAAAAGTATAAAATCACAAGTGAAGTTCTTTAAACAGGGACTATAAATAACTCGTACAATTTTGTAATTTCCAGTAAATTTCAGTCCATACTCAATATTACAATAACAAGAGTATACTAGAGTGTGCTCTAGCATTGCACATTCCGCCTCAAACACGTAGTTGACCACCGAGTGAAGGATCACAGATGACACACCAGTTAGTTCAGAGCCGTTGACTTTTTGACAGTTGGAAATTTCAAGCACAAAGTAAATGAAAATAACTTCAAAACCAAAAGAAAATGCTGTTCCATCGCAGCAAAGTAGAGAGTAAAGGGTAAAAGTGAAGTTACCTTGAAAGAAAGAGTGCGCGGTGAGAAAGCAAGTGCGTCACCATTGGCCTCAGAAAAGGCATGGCTAAAGGAAAAGTTGGAGCGAAGAGAAACTATGTTGTGAGCATGAGCATCCACCAGTTCCACCTCCTCCACTGCTCTTCTCAACTCACTCATATCCATTTTCAGAGTCCAGTTTTTGGTAACAACCAACGATGCCAAAAATATCAACAACACATTGGGTTTGGGAGAGAATATGTAACATATAATAATATCAACGAAGAAGAAAAAGAAGTCCTGTGGCGTGAGGGTGACGACCAAGACTGTATCTTCATTCAATGATACTCATTTATCTATCTTTCCAATGAAATTTATGACAGTTGTATTAATAGTGAATACATAATATTGTAAAACTATTTTATATTTTATATATTTATAAGTATTTTAATTTATTATTATACTAAATTTTATTATGCTTCTTAACTTTTACTTATTATATCAATCTATTAAATTTGTAAAGTGAGTATGTGTATAAATATATAATATCGTTCTATTATCAAGTATGTATAGAGTGATACCGTTTTATTATTAATATAAAAATAAAATGTACATATAATAATAAAATGTGAAAAACATAGGATGATCAAAAAATAAAAAATATGCAGTGAAATATTTAGAAGAAAAAACTTGACTAATGAAGTACTGAGTGATGAAAAATGTTATTAACTGTACATTGTATAATATATGTTGCATTACATAATATAGTACATAGGATACTCTGAACAAACAGTCTGAATCTGGCAAGTGAAGTTAAAAGTAAATGCAAGAATCTTTAATGGCACATGAAGTTAAAAACAATACACAATTCAAGACTAACTTCAACCTGCACAATCCAGAATCTAGATATTAATTTCTTATTTTTGAATGATTAAATTAATATAAAATTGTTAAAATAAGAAGAATTGATTATTTTAATTAAATTGATATATATATTTGTTAAAATTAAAATAATGGATTGAATTTTTTATGAATAGTAATTACTTTATGTTATTTTAATCATTATTTTACATTTTTAATATATTTTAACTTTTATTATAAATTATTTTAATTATTAATTTTTATAAAAATTTATTATATTATATAGATACTATTTTGTTAAATTTAATTTAATTTTGATTAAATTTTTAAATATGGCACATTTTAAAAAGACTTTATTTCACTCCATATATTCTGTAAATAGCATTTGGTGGAGGAAATTTTCTTTCTAGATTTTCTTCAGTGGCCTAGTTTAATTCATTGTTCATTTGTTTATTTATGTGATTAAAGAAAAAGAATATTGGAATTTGAAAACGTTGGGAAGTTTTAATACAGAAAAATGTAAAATTAAAATTCAATTTATTATTTATTTATCAGAAATGTGTAATAGTTAAATATTCAAGAACAACATTTTAGGCATACTCTTTTGATTTCATTTTTTTCGAAAAAGCTTTAATTATCTGAACTATATTATAACTTTAGTATTTTTTTTAATAACAATAGTTATCTCAAAATTTATAGTTTTTATTAATAAATATATAAGAGAAAAAGACAGTACTTGAGAAATCAAATTTTACTACAAATATTAAAAATATTCAAGAATGTAAATATATATTTATTATTACTGGTTATTTAAATTTAAAAAATATGACATTTATAATTTTATGAGAAATTAATGCAGTTGGGGACCATCTGGTACAGACTTCAGTACCTTCCTGACAAATTATTATACTATTTTAACACATATTCTTTATAATTATTTTTATATAAAGTTTATTGTTTTCCTCCATTTAGTTTTTTTTTTATTATATACGTATTTTATCGTTATTTGTTCTCTTCCTATATTTTGCAATAATAAAATATTATAAAAACTGTGTATGCTGACCTAACCGTGAAGCCAAAGTAGTTACCAACTTTTGAACATTTGAGGAATTAAAAATTACATTTTAATTGCCTTTAGAGAACAACATTTAATGCTAAAGTAATAAACTTGGAATTCATCTTATAATAAGTACATGTTTAATCTTAAGCTTACTTTAACTTAAAAATCAAATAAATTTCCCGTTGACGATAGGGCGTTGTTTAGAACCATCAATATTGTAAATCAATTCGCTCCATTCCACTCGGAATAATATTCTATGCGAATTCACTTTCTTAAAAGTCACTAAATAAATTTTATCAAAATGACTTGCGTTGTCAAAGGTCTAACATATTAGAAGACGTGGAAAACGGATGGCAAAAATAATTTTTTCAAAATATATGAAAAATTACAAATAAATTTTTTTTTTTAAAATAAGAACAATATCTAAAATTAGAGTGTGAAATTATTAATTTCGGTTTAAGTAGTCAAATTTAAATACATGTGTTTTTGACTAAAAATTAATAAGATGTGTAGATCAAATTATTGTAGAGAACAACAAAATTTTATGACAGGTCGTGGGTTTTTAGATTTTCTATCTTGATTATAAAATCGACATAAATCTAAATGATATACACTAGTACAGAAAACACCTTTAACATCGGTTCTTAGCAGCTTTCTACATCGGTTCTAAAACCGATGTAGATACAACCGATGTAGAAAGTTGGTGATTTTTAACATTGGTTAAGAACCGATGTAGAAAGTCTGACTTTCCACATCGGTTCTAGGCCACAACCGATGTAGAAAGTCTAACTTTCCACATCGGTTCTAGGCCACAATCGATGTGGAAAGTCATACTTTCTACATCGGTTGTGGCCTAGAACCGATGTGGAAAGTATTAAAAATCACTTTCTACATCGGTTATGGCCATAACCGATGTGGAAAGTCATATTTTTTTTAAATACGAATTTTAGTTTTTATTTTTCAGAACCTGTACAGCATTTTAAATATTTACAGCTACTCAGAATGTTAATCTATGTATAGAGGACATGCATTAACACACAAGTAAACATAATGTATATTATATATCTACATTGTATTGTATCAACAAACAATAAACATGTATTGTATTCTAAGTTTATATATACAAAGAAACTAGCAGTCCTAATGTTTCACAATTAAATTCAATCACTACTATAGTTCTTAATAACAAAATCTGCCCAAATTCGTCTAATGTCATCAATCTCTGATTCACTTATTGGATGACCATCATCGAATATCTACAAACAAAAAAAAACATTTCAGATAAGCAGAAGTAGGCAAATATATGTCAATGACATAGATATAGTCATAACACAAGGAGACACTCCTTTCTTGCTTCCAAACACGTAGGTGGAAGTCAATTGGGTCTTGAAGGCCCTCCAACGCTCACCAGCGAATGATATCCACTTCCTCCTTAGCCCTTCAGTATTCGGAACATTATAAGTGAGCTACAAAAAATAATACAAGGTCAGTGAATAATTCAAGAATTAACAATACAAGTAAATTTAATAGAAAAAAATTCGTACCAAGATGCTTTGCCAAATTTGTTCCTTCACACGCATCTCCACATCATCCCAATCCTTCTTTATTATGCTCACTTTGTTGCGGCCCAGAAGTGCAACATAACTTCTAAACTTTGTTGCGTGAGGCCCAATAGCATTTCCGGTCGAGTCATCAAACTCAATCGGTAACCTCTCATCAGCATTTCGACTTAGTGTCAACGCACTAAGTCGTGTTGCACGTCTCCCCTTCTTCGCGGACCTACTAGAATCGGCCATATTCCTGCCAAATAAGACAAATAAATGAGTTAGAATACAAAGTAACTAATACAAAGACATGCAAAGTAAGTAATAGTGTAAAAACCATAATATACCTATTGTTTAACAATTTTCCCATATTCCTTCTTCATGATCAAATCGGGTGGCATATACATCATCTTCTTCATTGTCATCATTATAAGGTAAAAAGTGTAATGCTAAAGATGGACTAGTAAACTGTTGAAGTTGTAAATCTTCAAGGTCATCACTACCAGACATGGGTTTCCCTTGAAGCATTATTGACCAACTACTATTAACTGGATCGGAGATATAAAAGACTTGTTTTGCTTGAGTTGCCATAATAAAAGGTTCGTCTTTATAGCTAAGCTTATTCAGGTTAACCAATGTAAACCCTAATTCATCCACCAAAACACCATTGTTACTGTCAACCCAATTGCACTTGAATACAGCAATTCTAAATTTGGTGTAGTCAACCTCCCAAATTTCTTGAATTACTCCATAATAAGAAAGGGATGCCATTACAGGAGAATTATCTTTTGAAGTAGCAAAGTGCATTGATTCAAGCAACTACCATCACACCACTGTTTTGCATTGTACTCTTTTCATCTTGAAGCTTAGTATAAAAGGAATAACCGTTTACATCATATCCACTCCATGTTATGACATCAAAGTTTGGGCCATGAGCTAACCATTTCAAAGTTTCGGATGCATCATCAATTGTAACGATCTGTTCTTCAAACCACTTCAAGAAATTTTTATTGTGTTCATTCAACAACCATTTTTCATTCATCCTTGGATATCTTTGCTTGATCATTTCTTTGTGAGTAGATAAGAAAGGCTGAACTTCATCGATGTTATTCAAGATGTACAAATGCACTTGTAAAACTTCTTCTCGACTCATGTTTCTACCTTTAACACCTCGGGTTCCCTTCCCAAATTGTCTTCCATCATGACGAAACGTTGGAATCCCTATAGGACTTACTTCACAAAGATAATCTGTACAGAACTCAATTGCTTCTTCTACAATGTATCTTTCAACAATGGATGCTTCAGGCCTTGATGGGTTTTTAACATATCCTTTCAAGATTTTCATATAACGCTCAATTGGATACATCCACCTTAGATACACAGGGCCACATAACTTAATCTCTCTAACAATATGAACAATTAAATGCACCATTATGTCAAAAAATGAAGGGGGGAAAAACATCTCCAATTTGCATAATATCAACACAGCTTCAGCTTCTAGATTATCCAAAGTCTGAAGGTCGAGTACTTTATTACAAATAGCATTAAAGAAAAAACACAGCTGCGTTATAACATGTCTAACCTTCTTTGGCAAAATGTCCCGAATAGCAACTGGTAAAAGATGTTGCATTTATACATGACAGTCATGGGACTTTAATCCAACTAACTTCAAGTCTTTCATTGACACTAGCCATTTAATATTCGAGAAAAAACCCTGAGGC